CTATATAAGAGCATTGTTCGTATTAATTAAAAAAAACTATAGACCACCAGGAGCTTTGCCGTATTTAAATGCCTCTAATTTCTTTTCCCGGTAATTCTATTTACTCAAATAAACAAACTCTGCTCTGGTGATAGACTTTCCACCTCTCCTTGATGGTAACAAAAGCACTAATGCCATTTGCTTTCCTTTCTTGTCTAATTATCCGTATTGTGCTTCCCCTTCTCATCTCTTTGAATTTAACAAACAAAGTCACTTTGAATTGAGCAAACTGAAGCGAGGGTGGCTGTATTTGCTTGTAATGGGACTAACAAGCTGTCTGAAACTGGCAAGTGTGATTTAAATGCAAAGTGTGTAGCTGGTCTGTCCTCAGCCTGTTGCATAGGAACGATATTACAACCAGTCTGCCTTACTTTTCTTAATCAACGGCTTCCCACTCTGTTGTGAGTCACTGAATGGACAGAAGAGGTCTGGACTCATGGACACAACACACAATGTGTGCTGACAGATCATGAGCAGTGGGCTATATTTTCTGAAGAAAAGCTGTTCTGGGTGATTGATTTCTGTCCCAAATCAAAAGAGTTGACTCCTGAATCTCTATGAGTGACGCACCGAACGTTGGTCAGAGATCCATCAATCAAGTGTGATCAATAAGGATGCTTGTCTTATAACAAACGCCACTAATAACAAAAGAAAAATGTCCTAAATGAAGTATATTGCCTTTACAGGTTTACTGACCTTTGCTTCTACTAACTTTTGGTTTCTCATTGAGATTTGCTGAGATTTACAAGCTGTGTGCATGTGCTTATGTGCCATTTTTGAACATTAGGAGTTTTGTAACAAAGCACGTCTGCCATCTACTGGTTCCTTTTTCTGTGTTCATGAAGATATTGATATGGTAAGTCATTTAAAGGTGCTGTATGTAGGATTGACACCGAGTTTTTGAACTAGGTATTGCAGTCCAAATTCAAAATATTGGAGAGGGTTTTTTTCACCTGGCCCCTCCTTCTCAGACTTGACCGCACACACAGGTTGCCAGATTGACGACACCAAAAGGTAGGAGCACACGTGACGATAAATGGAATGAAATACGCTGTGTTTCCCATCAACTGGCAACCCGGTTTCCGAAATACAATTGGGTAAACTGGCAGTGGGCGGGTTTCACAAACCAAAACAGAGACTGACATTCCGACACGGAACGCACATTTTCAAAGGAGAATAACTGACTGTAGCATTAGTTTTCAGATAAACAAGTATGTTAACTTAGCATCTTTCTTAAATATCTGCAAACATATTATGGTATTTTTATGCTTTAGTAGAGTCAAAAACTTACATACAGCACCTTTAAGTTGGTTGAATTCTCTGAAAGAAGACTTATAGAAAAGAGCAATACTGTTTTGCTCTTGAAAACTGTTTGTGTGCGCGTAAATGTGTATACCTAGCATATTTTAGGGACAAATTTATACCCAGAAGTGAGCTAAAACTGACAAAACCTCTCTTATGAGGATGTCCTCATTTGTAAAAACCGAATGAAATAAATAAATAAACAAATAATAGTTTTAATAATAGTTTTCATTCATTTTTTTAAATCTAAATGTCACAATTTAAATGGTTAAATAGATGTACGCGTACATGAAAACAAATTATGATCACCACTAATTACCATAATTACCCATTTTAACACTTTTAAAAAGTAAACAAAGACATAGTCTGTGTCTACATTTAAACTTGCATCAAATTATTTAGCTAAAAATAACAAGGTTGATACAATGGTTAAAACTGTATTGAAAATATAAATAATAAAAATATTAAGAATTAACCTGTGCTATTTTAGTATTATTTAGATGCTATTTGTTAGTATTTAGAATTTATTTCTATATTTTCAGTGTTCATTTCTGTGCTTTAAAATGTGTTATGTGCTTATTATTTATCTATTTATGTACGTACGTATGTTTATGTAATCTGTTTGCCAAAGCAACATTTGTAATTTTTTCAAGTTTACATTTTTTATTTGATCTTACTGCAGCTTTATTTTAATGAATGAAAATGGTGGCAACACTTATTTTAAGGTGTCCTTGTTATACGTTACATGTACTTACTATTATAATAACAATTAATTATGCATAATTACATGCAAGTAACCCTAAACCAAATCCTAAGCCTAACCCCCAACCATATAGTAAGTGCATGTAGTTAATGAATAGTACTCAGTACTTAAATATATAATTACACTGTAACAACGACACCTTAAAATAAAGTGTAACAAAGTTAACATTAACAACACTGTAATTAACAATAACTAGTAAATGTATTAAAATAGTTGAAAACCTGACATAAATAGTAAAATAGTTACATGTGGCTAATGTAACTGCATCTTAAGTTACTGAATTGAGTCAAATATTTGCTATTTCCTCAGATAACATGAATATGAATATGGCCAATGTCAGTGTGGTAAACAAAGACATAGTCTGTGTCTACATTTAAACTTGCATCAAATTATTTAGCTAAAAATAACAAGGTTGATACAATGGTTAAAACTGTATTGAAAATATAAATAATAAAAATATTAAGAATTAACCTGTGCTATTTTAGTATTATTTAGATGCTATTTGTTAGTATTTAGAATTTATTTCTATATTTTCAGTGTTCATTTCTGTGCTTTAAAATGTGTTATGTGCTTATTATTTATCTATTTATGTACGTACGTATGTTTATGTAATCTGTTTGCCAAAGCAACATTTGTAATTTTTTCAAGTTTACATTTTTTATTTGATCTTACTGCAGCTTTATTTTAATGAATGAAAATGGTGGCAACACTTATTTTAAGGTGTCCTTGTTATACGTTACATGTACTTACTATTATAATAACAATTAATTATGCATAATTACATGCAAGTAACCCTAAACCAAATCCTAAGCCTAACCCCCAACCATATAGTAAGTGCATGTAGTTAATGAATAGTACTCAGTACTTAAATATATAATTACACTGTAACAACGACACCTTAAAATAAAGTGTAACAAAGTTAACATTAACAACACTGTAATTAACAATAACTAGTAAATGTATTAAAATAGTTGAAAACCTGACATAAATAGTAAAATAGTTACATGTGGCTAATGTAACTGCATCTTAAGTTACTGAATTGAGTCAAATATTTGCTATTTCCTCAGATAACATGAATATGAATATGGCCAATGTCAGTGTGTTCATATGTGGCGTGGAGGCAGGGTTACGGGATGTTGACAGGGAAATACCTCCGCTGAGGGCTGAGACCCCCTACAGACGCTGTCTCTGGTCAAGAGAGGTAAAAGAAACATATGGCCTCTCACAGAATGAATAGGCTACTTGTTCAGAAACACCTATTCATTTTTTCAGTTTATATAACTATAGACTGTCATTAAAAAGTCTTAAAAATCTGAAATAACTTCCGCAAGTCTTTTCTTTAACCCTGAGCATTTAAAAAATATATTTTGCCCTCTATATATGTCTGTCCAAGAAAATGCATTCACTTGCAAAAACTTATAACACATTTGAATCAACTTCAGCAAGGAACATAATTTAAAATGCTCCATATAAAAATATTAAACATTATTAAATCATTATACATTTTGATCTCTAGTAGGCCATCCACATTTGTATTTAGCCTAAATATAGGCTATACTCTAAGACTGGAAATGTATTTTCTTGCCCCCGAGATACATTTAGAAATATATTTTAGTATATGAAAGTTGAAACTAAATATATTTTCTACTTCAAAATTATATTTTATTTAGCTTCACTGTTTGCAACATATATTTAGCGCATAATTAAAATATATGTTGGTCACAAAATGTTATATATATATATATATAATTTATTTAGTTGTTTATTTTTTGTCCTATGGGTACCTTTATACTAAAAAATAATGGGTTGTAATGAAAGTCTGTTTTTTTTATTTAGTGTAAAAGTTAGATGATATTTACAGTGAGTGTTAATTGCTAGATGCTTTTTGTTCTACTGTAGCAACAAATAGTGTTTAAATAGGGGTAGATACTACCATAGACACGGTAAGTGTTAACAAAAGTAGGCTAAATATGATATTTGCACGTAAGGTAAAACATCTGAGCAAGGTTTATCAGTTTTATTATTTAGGTGTAATATGGACAGTGGTGCCATGTGGTTCCTGTTACTTTTCTCACCACTGGTGTGGAAGGATCAATAACAGTCGTTTGTGATTAGTGGATGAAGATCTGGACAGAATAACGTTGTAGTAGAGATTATTGGGGCTGCATTTCATTCAAGTATATACCCATAGAAAACATTTGGTGGATCATAAAGAGGAAGATGCGACAAAGAAGACCTAAGACAGTTGAGCAACTAGAAGCCTGTATTAGACAAGAATGGGACAACATTCCTATTCCTAAACTTGAGCAACTTGTCTCCTCAGTCCCCAGACGTTTGCAGACTGTTATAAAAAGAAGAGGGGATGCCACACAGTGGTAAACATGGCCTTGTCCCAACTTTTTTGAGATGTGTTGATGCCATGAAATTTAAAATCAACTTATTTTTTCCCTTAAAATGATACATTTTCTCAGTTTAAACATTTGATATGTCATCTATGTTGTATTCTGAATAAAATATTGAAATTTGAAACTTCCACATCATTGCATTCTGTTTTTATTCACAATTTGTACAGTGTCCCAACTTTTTTGGAATCTGGTTTGTATCTTAAAATAATCCCAGTCTTACTCGTCGTAATTGCATTTTTACTAGTAACAATGCCAGTTAGAGAGCTCTCTAAATCTATTTTAACTAGTTATAAATTCAATAAGAGCTCTCTAATTTAATTAGAGAGCTCTGCAATTGCATTGTTACTAGTAAGAATTTAATTGTAGAGCTCTCTAATTGAATTGTTACTAGTAAAAATGCAATTACGACGAGTAACACTGGGGACATTTTAAGCTAAATCGGCTTGCCATACTAGGAAACAGTGATTAGTCGGCAGCAGTTGATCGGAGCAGGAGCGCATGCTGTGAACCGCTGCAGTAAAGCAATGATGGCCACTAAACTGGCTCAGCTTCTCCTTTGCTTTTGGATAACTTTGCCATTCTGTATCACGGAAAAAGTCAAAGAAAGGAGCGCCCGGCAAAGAGACGCGGAGTTCACTGACAGGGTAGGATTGTAGCCTACTTTTCTTTTTGAAGAAATGTGTTAAACTTTTACATGTGAAAAAGCAAATTCAGAGGCATCATACCAGCTCATAATGTTTCAATGTCACCAATTCTTGCCATTTAGGCTAAACAATGTGTTTAAGATTGTCAGGCTGATTCTGGAAGAAGAAAGTACTAATTTGTACAAAGCCTAAATCATATCCATTGTTAAAGTGACATTTTACTTATTTTTCTGCCATTTGAAGGGTTCATTTTTTTTGTTCTCCGCTATGATTAGTTTGATTACATTTGATTGAAAGATTCAAGAAAATATTAACTTATAGGGAAAGGCAGTATTCAGCCTCTTAATGGATTCAAAGAAAAGGTTTATAATGATGCCGATTAGAAGTATTGTGTTGACTTTTTTGCTCATGGATTTAAATATATACCAAGATCCAGAGAAAGAACACTGTGTTCATGGTGTGTTAAACAATGGCTTTGCAGTATTGTCCGAATCGCGAACGAGTCGTTAATAATTCGGTTCTTTTTAATCATTCAGTTGAATCGATTCGCAGTGCATTTGTAAATGTAATCAGAATCAGAAGAACTTTGTAACGGATTCAGACAGAGATGTGTGTAACTTAATCGAAAAATAGTCGTAAACATCAATAGTCGGTTTAATTAAGCATAAAAAACAAGGCTACTGAGTGGTGTCTTTAAAAGAATCGTTTTGATTCAGTAAAATGAACTGATTCGCCAAAATGATTCGGACTCATCTATGGCTGTTCCTCAAGAATTTGCTATACACGCAAAAGAGATTTGGTTTGAGAATCCATGGGAACACATTTTAACCTGTTAATTGTATAAAAATGTTGTAAGCAGATCCAAAGTACTATATAGATACACATCAACACACAAACTTTACAAATCACAGTCTGTGTCTGTCTGCAAATGAATTATGATCATAATAAAACAGCGATGAACAGTCTAAAATGTCAAGTAAATAAATGTAATGCAAATCAAAATACACCTACCGTACGTGATTCACTCGATTCCTTTCATGTAATCTGATTCATTTGGTTGCTCACTGGAAGACTGTGGGAATGTGGTGACGGATGATTAAGTCAAGTGTACTTTCCTAGAGAGCTAGCAGCTACCTAATATTGGTGAATTTTGAGATGCTTTTGGTTGGCTGACTTTCAATTGTCAACCCCAATTGAGTAATATCTAAAAAACACAGAACTGTACTTTCCACGTTTTTATCAGCGGATGCAAACAAACCACAGCACTGGGACTCATTTGGGCTTTTATGCCTCACTGATGTTCACACATATGGGTTATAATTCATAAAACCTGTGTGAGAAGGGCTTGGTCTGTAAAAACACCGCAAGGAAACAGAGAACTGTCATTATTGAAAAACCACAAGACAGTGGATTACATTTACTCACTGGATGAAAACCCAAGAGATCTGATTTTATTGTGTATCAGTTTCATATAGTATTTAAAATACTATACACTCTAAAAAAAATGCTTGGTTAAATGCAACCCAGTGCTGGGTAAAATAGGGACAAACCCAGCGATTGGGCTGTTTTGAGCCAGCGGTTGGGTTACTACCCAGAAGGTTGGGTTAAACATTTAACCCAACCGCTGGGTCAAAACAACCCAATTGCTGGGTTTGTCCCTATTTTACCCAGCACTGGGTTGTATTTAACCCAGTTTTTTATAGAGTGTAATATTCAGTATATAATATACTGTACAGTACTTATACTGTAATCAAAAGAATACTATGTATATATATATAATTTAGTATTCTATTTACTATATATGTTTACAGTATAAGTACTGTACAGTACACTCTAAAAAATGCTGGGTTAAATACAACCCAGTATTTTTAGAGAGAATTACATACAAAAGTTCTTTCTTTTTTAAATACAACCCAGTGCTGGGTAAAATAGGGAGAAACCCAGCAATTGGGTTGTTTTGACCCAGCGGTTTGATTAAATGTTTAACCCAACTTTCTGGGTAGTAACCCAACCGCTGGGTCAAAACAACACAATTGCTGGGTTTGTCCCTATTTTACCCAGCACTGGGTTGTATTCAACCCAGCATTTTTAGAGTGTATTACATCCAAAAGTTCCTTCTTTTAGAATTCCTGTAATACTGATTTTGCTTTGTCTTGTGTCAGAGCTTAAATAAAGTGAACAGACTGTGACTGTGGTCAGGGGGATTTTACACCAGTTCTCCTTCCAATTTTGTGTTTTCTTTGTTTTATTCGTTTTGGCACAAACGTGTCCATCTCAAAGAAAACAGGGTCATAGTACTTTCCCACCCACAGCGGTCTGTGCATCATGGTGAATCAGTCCCATTCCCATTAACAAGGCACAAAGCCTCTGCAAAGGATTGACATGCCTCTGTGCTTCATGTTTTTGTCATTAGCACCAGTCGTGCATGCAGGGAGTACCTGGAGTGCAGGGCAGGGATGGGAACCCGGGGATGAATGGCATTCCAGGCACCCCAGGAATCCCTGGGAGAGACGGACTTAAGGGCGAGAAGGGAGAGTGTGTGACTGAGAGGCTTGAGGATCCCTGGAAACCCAACTTCAAACAGTGCGCCTGGAATTCTTTAAACTACGGCATTGATCTGGGCAAAATAGCCGTAAGTATTATGTCCGTAATGGAAGAGCTCACAGCAATTTCATATGCATTCCTACAATGTGAATTGCATGAAAATGTATGATGTTTAGAAAAGAAGGAAGCATGAAACTTCTAAACCTATCCTTCAGTGGGGCGTAAGCACATCACATGAAAACGTACAAATGAGATACGAATTTATTCAAATTATCCACTAATTCGCCAAGATGTAAAATAGTTACAGTGAGATGTGGAAGTAGCCAATATATAAAATCTGCCCTCATGCTCATGGACACTCAGTTCTGCAGCCAGGTCTTCAGCCATACATGGCATGAAACTAATCACTCAGGAGCTGCAGGAAATTACATCATAACAACACTGATAGGCTGATGGCACCGCAAGAACACACACAGTCCAAAAACCTTTACTAGTGACTATTAAAGCATCTGTCAGAAGGGGCTAACAGTGCTAGGTAGTTACTGATTACATGTAATAACGTTTTTTCTTGATTACATGATTACATATTATTCACACAACAGCAATAAATGATTCAGAACTTATTGATTCTCCCTAATTGTTTCTCTTTTTTTCATTATTAGCTTTTCTTTGAAATCACTAGACTATATTTCCTTTCTCTTTGTTTTTTTATTTCAATATGGTACACTCTAAAAAATGCTGGGTTAAATATAACCCAGCGCTGTGTTAAAAAGGGACAAACCCAGCTATTGGGTTGTTTTGACCCAGCGCTGGGTTATATTTAACCCAGCATTTTTTAGAGTGTACATCATATCTGATTTGGCCGCCATATATGGTCTAGTTGCAATAAATGTATTGGAACTGAAGCTCAAATCAAATCTGAAAACTCTGAAAAAGTGAAAATGTGGCCCTGTGGCAGGTTGCCCTGCTCTGAATTCACACCATTGGTTGAGCCGGATAATGATATGTTAAACTAGGGTGACCATACGTGCCATTTTCCCAGGACGCGTCCTGGCCAGGATTTCGAAGCTAGATGTTTCTTCTTATATTAACTAACGTACTCTACGATTAGCTCAGTGAATAATAAAAAAAAAAACATAGACCTGGCTAGAACAAGCGGAGTGATACAAAATTGTGAAAGGGCGTTCCTGTAGCGATACCAGTACAATATCTCACGGTTCTCAACCAATCAGATTTGAGAACCAGAACGAACTGTTGTATAAAGACACTTAACTAATAGAAACGTATGTTAAAATGTGTCTGTGCATTAGATATTTTGTTAAATTTGGCTTATTTCAAACTTTTTTGCTTTGATCTTACATTTACGCTATATGTATTTAAATGATTACATAGCCTATATATATTCATTCATTCATTCATTCATTCGTACGATTAGCTCAGTGAATAATAAAAAAAAAAACATAGACCTGGCTAGAACAAGCGGAGTGATACAAAATTGTGAAAGGGCGTTCCTGTAGCGATACCAGTACAATATCTCACGGTTCTCAACCAATCAGATTTGAGAACCAGAACAAACTGTTGTATAAAGACACTTAACTAATAGAAACGTATGTTAAAATGTGTCTGTGCATTAGATATTTTGTTAAATTTGGCTTATTTCAAACTTTTTTGCTTTGATCTTACATTTACGCTATATGTATTTAAATGATTACATAGCCTATATATATTCATTCATTCATTCATTCATTCGCATATGTTCTTAAATAAAAAGCATGATGTTATAAAATATTTTTAATCATAATACTTGTTTATGGCTGCATGTGTGAAACACACTCTGCAATTATGCTCCTATTTATGGCCTTGTGGTTTTTAAAATATGGTACACAGTAAACTTCAATTGGACTCACAACATATACATTCCAATAAATTATACATTCCACTTACTTACATTACAGAAAAAGGTGTGTATTGAAACCTTATGATTTTAATTAAATTGTCTGCTTTCTTTGTGCTCATTCTGTCACGACCAACACTTTTTTGTGATCAGAAATGTTTAAAAATACCATTCTGTTTGAAATACCATTCTTTCGTAATCATACTCCATTGTTTTTATACACAAGACTCACATACTGTAATTTTTGTGAGCAGAGATAGTCTCTTATGCAGATGTCTTTGTCACATGGATTCCTGTGAGTGTTCTTTTGTGTGCTTGAATGCAGTTTGGCAGCTTTCATAAGCATCTATGCTGCAATTACAGAGAGACCAGAGGAATTTGAGAGCTCTGTGTGGTTTCTCACCAGCTCACATCCCAGCATTCACTCAACACTTACTCATGACCAGCACTACAGCACTGCTCACCAAAACAGTCTTATCTAGCGGACAGGGACCTGAGATACAGTGTTCATTCATTTTGCAAAATTACACTGACTGCACAATGCACAAATAAAAATAATAGCAATAATAATATGTGCAACTTTTCCAAAAAACTTTGTCCAATCCTAATGAAAAATGTTTGGGATAGATGGATGGATGGATGGATGGATGGATGGAAGATAGACAGACAGACAGATGATAGACAAAAGACAGACAGATAAAAGACAGACATATGATAGACAGATGGATAGAAGACAGACAGATGATAGACAGATAGATAGATAAATAGACAGACAGACAGACAGACAGATGATAGACAAAAGACAGACAGGCAGATAGATAGAAGACAGACAGATGATAGACAGATGGATAGAAGACAGACAGATGATAGACAGATAGATAGATAAATAGACAGACAGACAGACAGATGATAGACAAAAGACAGACAGGCAGATAGATAGAAGACAGACAGATGATAGACAGATGGATAGAAGACAGACAGATGATAGATAGATAAATAGACAGACAGACAGACAGATAGATAGATAGATAGATAGATAGATAGATAGATAGATAGATAGATAGATAGATAGATAGATAGATAGATAGATAGATAGATAGATAGATAGATAGATAGATAGATAGATAGATAGATAGATAGATAGATAGATAGATAGATAGATAGATAGATAGATAGATAGATAGATAGATAGATAGATAGATAGATAGATAGATAGATAGATAGATAGATAGATAGATAGATAGATAGATAGATAGATAGATAGATAGATTGATAGATAGACAGATAGAGGACAGACAGATTGATAGATAAATAGACAGACAGACAGACTGATGGATAGAAGATAGACAGATTGATAGATCAGACAGACAGACAGATAGATGGATAGATAAAAAGTAGAAGGTTTCTTCTTAAATCAATTATTTGTGCTATATGTGTGTTTGTATTTTACTTAATATTAATGATAGCACATGAATAACACATACTAATAACACATACTGTGTATAAGACTAGAGTATACAGTATTGCTGATGGTGTGTGTATGTGTGTGTGTGTGTGTCAGTGGAGGGGCTCTGTGACGGGATCCAGGCTGGGCTGGTGGATGTTGGGATCTGGGTGGGCACATGTGCCGATTATCCTCGCGGAGACGCGTCGACAGGATGGAACTCTGTATCCCGGGTGATCATTGAAGAGCTTCCAAAATGAGCTTCTCATCTTCAGAACTGATCACTGTCATCATCACCGTGGCAATAGAAGACATCTACCTTCCTCACAGAAATGGGACAAATTAAAGCTAATAGAGTTGCTTTGAGTCTGTGCAGTCTCTCATGTCTTGTCAGATTATTATTCTCATTTTGAAAGTTGTGGAATTCAGTATTCTCAGTTTAGATAGTACAGACAATTACAAAATAGAAGCACCATGTTTTTTGGACACTACCATAATGAAACTTTTGAGAAAAGTACGTTGTACAATGTAAATATCATGTTACATATGAGGTCATCACTGTACAATAATACCACCATTTTAAGGAGAGTCCAACAAAGACAATCCTTGCTTTGCTGATATTTATTTAGTGGCTCTTCCTTTTGTGCCTGGATGACTACAACTCATATTTTTGTAGCCATTGTGTTTTTATTACCTATAACTATGAAGAAAAGTCAAGTCATGTTTGACCTCACAAATAAAAATGTAATGTGAAAACAAATCTAATTTTCTTTACTGTAATATATATATATAAACGAGAAGAAATACCGTATGCTTAATTTTTGTGAAAATGTTCCAAATTCAAATATATGTATATATTTTTTATTATAATTTTGGGGTTGACATATGACAGGCATTACTTTAGGACATTCCCCCCTTTATTCCATAGATAGATATTATACCATACACACATTTTTCTACATGATTATATCCGGTTGTCTGGAGACGTCCCTGGCCATTTTTAGAACTCATGCTTTTTTGCTTAAATTCTAAATGTTTTGAAAAAAATAAAAAAATAGAACACTTTTATACATATTAAAAAGGCCTATTTTAATTTAAACCAAAGTCTTGGTAATTGGCTTAAAATGCTGATGCAAAAAAGCCAAAAGTACCAGCATCCTAAATGGGGTGTAGATGGAAAACGCAGCGGGCTGAGGTGTGTGCAGCATGACCAAGGCTTGGAATGTCTGTGGTACTGAAGTAGTTTCACAGCTGCTGCTGAGTGTTCAGATTCCCGTTACTACAGGTTAAGACACACTGGCCCATATACAGTAAGTACATATAAGTCATATGTTGGAATATCACTGCATTAAATAACAAAAAATGCTGTTATATCCCCAATCACCCAATGATTAAAAAAAACGTGCTGGTCTGAGAATCACATTGTGAAAAGAAGTGCATTTTAACATGGTTTTAAGAGTTATTAATTGCATGTTATGTACAACTAACTGAAAATGTATTATAGTTTATATTATTAAATGCAGTTAGCTGAAGGTTAGAGTGATTTTAACACACATTGTAAGTAGGACTTAAGTACATTTATGTTATTTCATAATTATATTGTCATTTAAATATGGTTAAAGTGTGCTACCAAATGTACTGACAAGCATTTATGATTAACTAAAATATACTTTAATGTCATTTCTATTGAAACTTGTCATGTATTTAATATTTAATTTAATGTGTAATTACACATTTGAAATTATAAACATATATGAACTTTAAATGTAATACTGCTGCATGCTACAGTTCAAAGTATAATCAAGTAATTTACATGTGCTTTAGTATGTTAGTCAACACATCAAAATAAGTGTACTACTTTAAAGCATGACAAAAGATTAAAGCATGCCTTAAAATTTATTTTAAAGTAAAACGTTTAACATTATTACAAAGTGCATTTTTTGAAAGTCTACTTAAGTGTGTTAAAAATAGTGCTGTAAAACGATTAATCGCGATTAATCGCATCTAAAATAAGTTTTTGATAACATGATATATGTTTGTGTGCTGTGTTTATTATGTATATATAAATACATACTCATACAGTATACATTTTGAAAATATGTACATGTATATATTTATATTCATATAATTTATATTATATATAAATATATTTAATATATAAACTTTTCTGAAATATATATATATGCATGTGTATTTATATATACACAATAAATATACACAGTACACATACATATATTTTGTAAACAAAAACTTTTATTTTGGATGCAATTAATCGCGATTAATCGTTTTACAGCACTAGTTAAAAACCATGATTAAAGTCTTTAAGCACACTTAAATGGCCATTTATTTTATTTGATATTATATTATCTTCAAGTGCAGATAGTACACTACAAAGCACATTCAATACAACTAAGTGCACAAAATCTCAGCATGTGAGCGTAAACTGCCAGTGATGTGATTAACTGTTTCTGATGCAGTGAAAAGTCCGAACCGTTCACAAGTGAAATGGTTTATCGGGCTTCTGTCAGTCATTATTAAAAACATAGCCTGTGTCTGTTACATATATTCCTTTATTGGATGTGTAAAAATGGCTTATACGTACATCAGCTCTTCTTTGTGCGTCACTGACAATAGCACATTCATATATACAAACATAACAGCCTTTCAGTTACTCAGTTAAAGCGTTCCTCTCTTCCAGTAGATGTCATCCACACACATCTGCTTAAAATCTGCTCCTGTCCTCCAGTAAAGTATCGGTTTCTCCAGGCCTGTGTGCTATTATCCTGCAGCGTGACATCATTTCCTGAGCATGCTGAAGAGATCTGCTGAGTGGCTTTCACTCGCCTAGCTCAGCAAATATAGCAGCTGTTTGGTGAAAATATCATAAAAACAGACAAACATCTTCTTATGCACTGTGTTTGGTGAATACTGTGTTCGGTTGCATCGTCACAGGATGGCTTGAATCCACTTTTCCACGAGCCGTTCTTGTCATTGACAACTTGAAATTACACCTTTTCGTAGTTGAATATTCAAGACAGTATGGATATTCTCTCAATAAACTCAACAATACAACAATATCATATATATATATATATATATATATATATATATATATGCACCTGTTCTTTCTTTGTTTTAGAGGGAAGAAAATTAAGGGATTTGAAACATTGAAACAATAATATTAGCATGTGAGCCATAGGATTACTCCAAATGGTCAATATCATATATATATATATATATATATATATATATATATATATGCACCTGTAGTTTCTTCTGTTCATTCAGTGCACAAACTAAATGCTAGTTTTGTCTGCATTCATGTCGAGTTCAGAGTTAAACAGGAAATGTTTGGTATTCCTGCTCGTCTCTAACACACACACACACACACTCACACTATCTCTTACACACACACACACACACACACACACATGCACGCACACACTCGCACACACACACACACTTGCACACACACACACACACACGCACGCAAACACACGCACACATTCACACTGACACACACACACACTCGCACGCACACTCACACACTCTCACACACACACACTCTCACAAGCACACTCACACACACACACACACACTCTCTCTCACACACTCTCTCACACACACACACACTCTCTCACACACACACACTCACAAGCACACACACACACACAGGTTTACATTTGTGAAAAGTGGGGACATCCCATAGGTGTAATGGTTTTTATACTGTACAGACCGTATATTCTATTGCCCTACACCAACCCTACCCCTAAACCTACCCCTCACAGGAGACTTTCTGCTATTTCAGATTTTCAATACACTCCATTCTGTGTGATTTATAAGCGTTTTGAAAAGTGGGGACATGGGGTAATGTCCTGAAAAGTCACCTTCTCCTTGTAATACCTATGTCATACCTTTGTCATTATACAAATTTATGTCCTCATTTGTCACAAAAACGCGTAAACACACTCACACACACACACACACACACACACAGTCCTGGTATATTGCGTTGAGTTGGTCCGTGGTTGCGTTTGAAGCTGAAGCTTTAGTGATACTCGCCCAAAAGTAAGCGTGACACATTTTCGAACACCAAAAATGTGATGCAGCACGCTGGAATGACTCGCACCAGGTTTGGGACCATGCCTTTGTAAAAGCCCTCGATCCCCTCGTTGCTAGAGAGAGCCAAACACAAACATACTGAGCTGATGTACAGTCAGATGAGTCACAGTATTCCTGGCAGTGCCTCTCCAATCTCTATGAAGAGCTGCTAACAAAACATAGCTACAAATGGTTTAAGAGGACAATATCTTTAAAAATAAGGTATCATAAGGTTTAAGAATGGTTAAAAGAATGTTGTTATGCATAACATGAAAAATGCCAGGGTGATTCAACTGTCATGACATTATAATGAATAAAATCATTTAAATAAATGAAGGAAAACCTTTAAGTATTTTGGGATAATCATTCATTATTATTTAGTTAAAAATATTTATTATTATTATTATTTATATTATTATATTTATTATTATTATTATTTATATAATTATATTTATTATTATTATTTTACCAAAAGCCCAACATTTTACCAAAAGTCAAATCAAGGTGAAATCAATCAATTTTCTTTTAAGTTTTAGTTTTAAAATGAAAAGATTTTTTTAAACCATGTTAAATTATCATTAATTAACAGAGAATACATTTCTAAGAACGCAAGTATTTTATACTAGCTTTTTAAAGGTTTTTCTTGTACATTTTTTTGTTTCAGCTTTGTTTTTTTAAGTTTTAGTTTTAAAACGAAAAAAACTAAATTCTAAACCATTTCAAATGATCATTAATTAACAAAGAATACATTTCTAAGAACGCATCTATTTGAAACTAGATTTGTAAAGGTTTTTCTCGTCGATTTTCTTTACCATTTTTGTTTCTTTATTATATATACTCTTATAAGTCACTGACTCCATTAATATTTGGTAATTATTATTGTTATTATTCATATTTATTCATTATTATTAATATTTACAAAGCAGTATTAATTGAACATAAAAACAATGAGACATACACATTAGCATTCAAAAGTTTCGGCTTATTATTAATATTACTGTATTTCTGATCAAATAAATGCAGCCTTAAGAGACTCTAACTGTCTTGACTCAACACTTTTGAATGGTAGTGTATATCTACATCAAATACAACTTAAATACTAATCCAGTTCATTTAATTATGGTGACGTGAAAACAGCGATAAACTCAAAAAAGAAAAAACTAATCATTCTAAAAAAGGACTTCAATAAAGGAATCCAAATGAATGATTCACTGTTTTGTTTTGATCTCTGATCTCTGAATGCTCAGTGATGGAGACTGAAGAGCGTTTGACTCATACCTCCACGTCCTCTGGATGACGTCCACGATGCCGCTGTAGTTGTTGTGCTGGTCCTGCAGGCGAGCGCGCACCACCTGGTACGGGTAGGTCACTGCTACAGCAAATATTTTGGAAATGGCTGCCATGGTGATGTATTCCAATGGAGACTGAAGCAGAGACAGACGGGACGGAGAGACTGACTCACAGAGATCACATAAACCGCTCTTTCTAAAGGTTATAATATACAGTCAAATGCCACATAATAGTACGGCTCATTCTTGTCTGTGGTGCCTTTATGGCATCTCATAAAATGTTGAAAATAAATTTGGATGCGTTTATAGCTCAAGACACCGTCTGAGCGCAAGAGTTTTATTAGGTAATATTATTCTGCAAAGGTTTCCAGGTCCAGAAATGTCATTGAAATGAAAGGGTTAGTTCACCCAGAAATGAAAATAAACCCGTGATTTACTCACCCTCAAGCCATCCTAGGTGTATATGACTTTCTTCTTTCAGACGAATATAATCGGAGTTAGTTCTATTAAAAAATATCCTGATCTATCTATCTATATATATATGTATATATATATATATACTGTATATATATACACGTAAATGTTATATATATATATATATATATATATATATATATATATATATATATATATATATATATATATATATATATATCCATCTATCTATCTATCTGTCTGTCTTATCTATCAATCTGTCCTCTATCTATCTATCTATATATATATCTAGTTGATCTATTTCATATATTTACGCATGTTGGAGGAGACTTACCTGTTTAAAAAGCTGTTGTTCAGCATTAGCTTATTAGGATTGCATTGAAATTTTATGAATTAAATGCATACATTTTTTGTAATCTGTCTCTAAATGTTTGTATGTCAGGGGATACGTCGCTCTTTTAGGGGTATGAATCACGATATAAAAACATATACTGTATATAGACTCTGTGATTTTGTGGCTTGTGTTTTCGAAAATCGAATCTTTTTGTAATCTTGACAAAACAGATATCGCTGGAAAGGTCTGACAGTCAAGGTTCCATATTTGGTAACTGTTTTGTAATAGAAGTGATATTGTGACAGAAAATGATTGATTTGTGACAGAAAGCTGCATCAAAAGAATTCAACACGAGTTTGGGTGTAACCCAGTGGTTATTTTTGGTATAGTGCCCAAACAAAATCTCACAGGAGGCAGCCACAATTTTTGTGATATCAACTTCAAATTTGGAACATAAATTGGTTAGACATATGACTTTGATTTTATAGCAATTTTAGAGTGCAACATATTTTATAAAATATTTATTGTACCCCCCACCTACAAATTATTGGAAAAAACTAGATTCTTTACTAATAAAATATATTTGGAATGGAAAACGTCCCCGCGTTAAGTGGTCTGCACTTCAAAGAACTAAAATAAAAGGTGGATGGGGTTGTCCAAATTTTAAATGGTATCATTGGTCCTTTATTCTGCTCTCAGTTAAGAAATGGTTTGATCCTTGTTCACAGTCCTCGTGGAAAGAAATAGAGCAAGAGCTTATTTCACCAGTTCGCTTGCAAGATTTTTTATTTTCTGGCCTTACGTATAGGAAGTGCTCATTACATTATGGACCTATACTTTCCTATACTCTCCAAATATTTAAAAAGATTGAATCCCTTTTTTCATCTAAAACTATATGGCATACCCATACTCCCGTATGGCACAATCTAAATCTGCTTTCTGGTGGACAACCATTTGTACATCCAACTTGGGTTTCAAAAGGTATTCTAACGTTAAACGATATAAATGGAGAGAAATCAATTTGAAAGATTTAACATTTCCCGTAAAACGTTATTTCTATATTTTCAACTTCGTTCTGCATTAAAATCTCAACAGGTTCCTCGGGGTAATAATCTTCAAATTCACCCAGTAATGCAATGGTTAATCTAAAGATGTAATTCTGTTAATATTATTACCAATTTTGTTTTTTTATATATTTTTATTTGATTTTATATTGTTTTACTTTTGTGTTTATGTGGGTCCTGGGGTGCGATGGGGTGGGTGTGGGATGGGGGGAGGTTCTGGGAGGGCAATGGTTTATTTAATAGGTTTTCTCTCCTTTGTTGTAATGTTTTTTTTGTGTGTTCTATCAAAATAAAAAACAGTGAATTACAAAAAATATATATTTATTGTATATAAAAAAAAACTATTAGTATACTACATTATCTTTACTGTAAACTTAAAACTTTTTTTATACTTTCTTTTTTTGAAATGCTTTCACGTCAGCAATAATCTTCTATATGTCTTCTTTGAAAAGAGACCAACCTTAGGTCTGAATTCCAAAGAAAATAAATGTGATGTATACTGTGACCACAAATAAACAGAAACACGCGACTGAATAAGTATGAGTCCTCTTTCGTTTGTGAAATAACGGTAAATTACACTTTATTTCTTTGTGACATTTTCAATCCTGACAAATTAATTCAATATGATCAATGCATCACTTATTAAAACAGCGATGCTTTTGGATTTAAATCTTTAAGTAAACAACAAAAAATGCAAACAAACGGCCTCTCTTATCATGTTCGTTTTGTGATCGCGCTAGTTCCATTGATTTATTTCTGATTAGTTTTCTGATAACTTCTCTTTGTTGGTGAAATGCTGGGGTAGTGTGGTGTTGTTCCTGAGAGGCGTGTAAAGGGCTGGTTTTAGTGAAGTGCAGCGGAGCTTCTGGCCTGACGGTGGAAACGGCATGATTTTGGGTCTGAGGCTATTAGTCCCACCCGGCCCGTTGAAAGCACTGGCTTGAACTGGCCGGACAATGGAAAAGTGGCTATTTTTTGGGTGAAACATCCCTTTAATTAAAGGGTTAGCTGACCCAAAAATGAAAATTGGCCTGTGTTTTACTCACCCTCGAAGCATCCTAGGTATATATGACTTTCTTCTTTCAGACGAATCCAGTCGGAGTTATATTAAAAATTGTCCTGGCTATTCCAAGCTCTATCATTGCAGTCAGCGGGTGTCGCAGTTCAACAGTCCACAAGTCGTCAAATAAAGCGATCGCATTCATAATAAAATGCCGAACGCGGAGAGACAACAAAACAAAACGCCGGTCACGAATTAGAAGTACAAACCGAAGATTTGCAAAGAAAAATATTGGAGGATTTCGATATGAGCCAAAAGGAGACTGATTTTCCTTTACTAGAGTAAGGAAGCTTTGCTTCCTTTGCTCCTTTCAACAAACTCGCGAGACTAGCATATCTCAGAGGAGCGCCTAATACGTCATACGCCGTCCACCGGAACGACTTCCGCATATGACAGAAACCAGAAGTGAGAGAAAAGTGTTTATTACGTTTGAAATATGGATATTTTTCTTACAAAAATGCATGGCTTCACTACAGAAGGCCTTTATTCACCCCCCGGAGCCATGTGAAGCACGTTTTATTATGAATGCGCACGCTTTATTTGACGACTTGTGGACTGTTCAACTGCAATGATAACGCTGACTGCAATGATAACATTTGGAATAGCCAGGACAATTTTTAATATAACTCCGACTGGATTCGTCTGAAAGAAAAAAGTCATATACACCTAGGATGCTTCGAGGGTGAGTAAAACACAGGCTAATTTTCATTTTTGGGTGAACTAACCCTTGAAGATCTGAAAAAGTCACGGAAATATCTTTTATTTTTACATTTTTATTTCCAGTTATATTGAAGGACTGGACATTTGCAACCTTTACGGTGGACATACATGACACACCGAATGGTAAAACATCTGTCATATGTCCCATTCCTGTCAAAATAAGCTGTACCATATGTACCATACGCATAGGAAAACTACACAATTTCAGTTGATATGAAAATCACAGTGCTGCATCTCATCCTATTGTACGTTCCTAGTGTGTGCTAAAAATGTAAGGCTGTTTTTACTTGCTCACCAGCAGCGATTCAGATGGCATCTTCTTGTATTTGTTCTGCTCTCTTTTTAGTCCCTCATAGGTCATGAACTGCAGTGCAGCATGGGAAGTCCCCACCAGTCCAGGCACGAAACCCTAAAGAGGCAGACCAACAAAATGAGGCTCACAAAACCACAATCACACAGTTACCTCAGACTAAAAGCAACGTCATCGTGTTCAACTAGACTAGACTAGAATTAAACTAGAAGGAAGTCTACTTCAATACAATCTGGCGTGACTCACAAAGAATTGAGCCTATACTGTATTTAGGCTTAACTGGAAGCACAGGTTAAGAGCTGGATCAATCCTCTAAACATAATACAATCACACCCTCTTGTGGCCCTACAGAAAAATACAATGTTACAGAGCAAAAAGCTGGATCAGCCCACTATTTAAAGTCAACATGAAATGCAATTCATTTTACAGCCATAATGTGAAACATATCAGAGTATGATATTATATTCAATGAGAACAGGTTATTAAGTTATTACTAGTCAATTATTACACTAATTTAGAATACAAAAGACAAACTTGCACAGATGACCCTTGTGAAAAAAAGAAAGTGCAATTAATTGTATTGAATGTGCACTTGTATTGTACTTCGAATCTTAAAAGTATATTTTTAAAAACTGTACTTGATGATAATATAATACTAATGAAATAAAAGGCCACTTAAGTGTACTTAAAGAGAGAGAACTTTCAGGACTATATTTCTAAACGCACTTAAGTACATTTTTTTAAATGGACTATGAAATGATGTCAAATTACTTTAAAGTACATTTTAAATCATATTTTAATAATCTTTTGTCATGTTTTAAAAAGTACACATTTTGATGTGTTGACCAACATACTAAAGCACATGTAAAGTACTTGATTATAATTTTAACTGTAGAGGGTTATTTGATATTACATTTAAAGTTAATATATTTTAGTATTAAATTCCAATGCCATCATTATTTATGTGTAGTTATACAAATATTTAAATACACCATGCAAGCTTCACTAGAAATGACATTAAAGTATATTTTAGTTTACCATAAATGCTTGTCAGTACATTTTACAGCAGTACACTTTAACCATATTTCAGAGACAACAGAAGTATGAATAATGAAATTATATATAAAGATTAGTGCTGTCAAACCATTAATCGCGATTAATCGCATCTTCTTTAGTGATGAATTGAAAAAAGCTGCGTGTTTCACTTCCTAAGCTGATACCACAATCTTGTTTCTTCTCTATTTTTTTGTCAGTTTCAAATCGGCCACATAGAAAACCGTTTTGAAGCTGGTCATTCTTGTTATGCAAAGCACTTTCATATCCTCATCATATATATACAGTATATTAACACACAGGATGGAAATAGGATAGAAATTAAATTAGTTTCTTTTTTTAAATATCTCAAACATAGGTCAATTTCAACCTTTGTGTAAAACCTAAAACTGGTAATTGTGAGGTAGTCTAAAATAAGAAATAGTCACATTGCTATGAGACATACAGTCGTAATTACAAGATATAAAGTTGCAATTACCTGAAATAAAGTTGCCATTTTGAGAAATGGAAAGATGCAGTTTCTGTTTTAAATTTTTTCCCATACAACTAAGTAAGCAGAGAGCTGGCAATTGACCCTTCACTAAGACCCGTCCTCCTAAATTACTTCTACTCTGACACACTTTACAGAAAAATGTCTCATAATGCTTTGAAGATTTCTCTGAAACAGCATAATTTTCAGTAAAACGTGCTAATTAGGTGGTAAAAACTGATTGCATATTATTCCTGCATTCTTGACTGGAATGAACTGTGATATTGCAAATCATTTTTCCCTGCCATTTTTATTTAAAGAAATGAACGCAGTAACGTGATTAAAATCTGCAGAGACAGAATCAAGGCCAATGCTTCACGCAGTCAACGGCAAACAGAGAATCTCATTTAAACGCTGATAACATTAGTGTAAGTGAACTGAACGTACAACACATTTACTGTGCGACTGTGAACTCTTAAGTTACTACTGCATCTACTGTTACCTCAAGCAACACAATTTAATTAGAGGTAAGTTACATATTTCATCATATTTTGAGCTAATTTCTGTAAAATCTGGTTTAAAACTAGGCCTGGGCGATAAAACGGTATCGGTATTTATCGACGGTACACCTTCATCGATAACGATAGAAAAAATGTTCGATATAGCGCACGGTATAGGCACGTGCTTTGAGTGACGTTTGTGCTATGCTTGTATGTGATGAGGAGATTGTGAATAAAGAATGAATATTAGTCGAATTTAAAATAAAAAAAATTGCATTTGAATGCAAAAACGGTGCAATCCAATGTTAGGAGTGCGTCAGGGAGCGTCATCAGTGGCGCGCGAGATGCGGTGATGGTAATGTAAGTGACGTTGTTGCATTTTAATGTTTTATAAGTCTAGCCCACGAGACGCGCCGCTGCTGCGTTATTCATTCAAAATATTAGAGAAATATAGAAGCTCAATGCGTAGAAGATCTTGATTAGGTTAAAACCGAAACCTAGCCATTCACACAGAACGCATATTCAGCGCATTTTTTAGACAGACAAATATGACTGCTGCACTCGCGTCATGCAAAGTTAAAACACGTTGCGAATTTGTGGAGGTTTATTCCATTTCACTGAGTCTCTTATGTTTTTAAATCCAATCTGTGCGAATGGCGCTTCAGCTCTTTGTATTAAGATCTTTAAAAAAGCATCATATGACCCCTTTAAGACTTATTTAATCTTTATATAAAACATAAGAAAGGAGATATTTGTTTAAATGTTATTTTGTGTTTGACTGTTAAAACAAAACAACAAAAATATTTGTTGTCTTAATAAATAGAGTAAATTAAAAATAGTGGTTAAATTTATAAAAAAATTATATTGCTCTGTTTTAAAAAGGGTTATAAAAAATGTCAATAATTATCGATACTGAACGATACGAAACATTATATCGTTGATACGTTTTTTTAGCTATATCGCCCAGCCCTGTTTAAAACTATGCAAAAATGTCCTCATTTCCATACACTTACACTACCTTTAAAAAGTGAGATTTTGTTTTTGAACGACGTCTCTTCTGCTCAACAAGGTGGTATGTATTTGATCAAAAGCACAGTAAAACACTAAAAATTTGAAATATTATTCCAGTTTAAATAAACTGAATACATTTTAAAATGTAATTTATTCCTGTGATAAAAGCTGAATTTTCAGCAGCATTACTCCAGTCTTCAGTGTCACATGATCCTTCAGAAATCAGTCTGATATGAGCAGTTCTCATTATTATCCATGTTGAAAATGTTGTGCTGCTTCATATTTTTGTAGAAACTGTGATACATTTGTTTCTTTAAGGGATAGAAGAACAGCATTTATACGCAATAGAAATATGTTGTAACATTATAAGTATTTTACTGTCACTTTTGTTCAATTTAGCATGTCCTTGCTTAATAAAAGTGTTTATTATTTAATTTCTTTTAAAAAGAAAACTGTCGGTGGTGCTTCGTAAGGGTCACTTTATTAAGAAATCCGATCTCTAATCTAAATGTTTGAAATAAAACATGCCGTTTTAGTTTTGTCGTCAATCTACGTATCCTCAATTTCACTTTCCATTCTGTTTAAATATCCTTTCAAATGACTACCTAATGACATCCTCCAAGAAATAATTTTTGGATGGAAAAACAACAGCTTAAATGTCAATAAAACATTAGTGGATTTAATGATGTCTGTGACGTTTTATGGTATTATTTGGTTTGTGTCACTCTAAAATATTCGATCGTCTTAAAAATAAATACGAAAATTGTATTACATTACCAACAACATTGAAGTTATCTTGAAAGAAAACTAACTCAATGCCCTCAGCAGACTTCTAACTTCAACAAAAATCTAACTTCAGCCATTTCCATCCTGTTTGCTTGCTTATCACTGTGCAAACAATCAAGTTCAAGCCTCTGAGTTTGACCTGTTATCTTCAGTCTGGTCTAATTTAGTAAATTAAAACAAGCATAAACAAGTGGTTAACATCTGATAGTCACAGAGTGTGCGGCGTAGCCTAAAGTTCGGGCATAACAGGAATGATCCGGCGGAGGAACACAGCGTCTCCAAGGCCTCTGCCATTCCAGCTGTTCCCGTCTCATAGCTGAGCTGCAGATTTAGCTGTGTTTAGTTTGTCAGGCTCACAGGTGGCTCTTTCTCAAACTGACCTGCCTCCGCTGCAGACACCAGGTGTTCGCCAGCACTCAGCTCTGTTTGCCGTCCCTCCTGCGTGTACGCTTTAATAGCATTATAACTGCGGGAAGATGAGAAAGGACCACGTTATGGTCCCCAGAGTCCTTTAGCACATGCATGTCTATTGTACAGTGCTGTAAGCTGACCATGCTTTATGTAACAGTTATTGAATCACCATGTGGATTTCAGGGAAGGTAAACTTAGAAAACATACATAACGTCATAATTTACTCACTTGCATGTCATTACAACCTGTAGGACTTGAGCAAATCAACAGTGCTGCTGGATATAAGACTGCTGAGCTACATCTCTCCAGATTTATTGTTATGGTCAGATCTTCACACTTAATCTTTTTTTTCCACAGCATAACAAAATATTAGGAGAAATGTTCTTCTTGGCATTACAGCCTGCTTAGGACAAAGACCAAATCAACAAGGATCTACTATTTATATTTCAGTGTTGGCACCCGTGTAAAGTTGCACATACACAGTTTGTTTGCCAGTGATCCGGATCTGAAATCAGGTCAGATGAATTCCTGGAGTGTCTTCATAACTCATACACTATCAACTGACACAGCACTGTTGCCAGCTTCTTTTTTTGGCCTGTGAACTTTAAAGGATCCATGCCTTTTCAAGAAAGATCACTTCTATATTATTGTTATTTTGTTATTATATTTTAATTGATTAATATGTTTATTTGTATTTATTTATTTTTGTAAAAATAGACTATATCAATGCCAGTTACACTAATATTCAAACGTTTAAGGATACGTATTTTCTGCTCACCAAGGCTGCATTTATTTGACTAAAAATACAGTAATATTGTGAAATATTACAATTTAAAATAACATTTTTTTTGTTTGAATATATATATATATATGTATATAGTTTAAAAAGACTCGTGTATGTCAAAAATGTTCCCATCTGGCATTTCTCATGCTTTAAAATGTTTTAGTAAAAATATACAGTATATATACACTGCTGGTCAAAAGTTTGGAATAATTAAGATTTTTTTTTTTTATGCATTTAACCAAGTCTGCATTTATTAAAAATACAGTAATATCGTGAAATATTATTAGAACTGAACATTTGTTTTCTATTAACGTGTTTTATATTACTAATTAATTTATATTATTTTGATATTTTAATTTATATTAAAATATATTACTACTATATTGTAAAATGTCATTTATTTCTGTGATGCGCAGCTGAATTTTCAGCATCATTACGTCAGTCACATGATCTTCAGAAATCATTCTAATATGCTGATTTGCTGCTCAAGAAACATTTCTGATTAATAATTAAGGTTGAAAACTAGGGATGTTAATTTCAAATACAAATCTTTTGGAAAATTACACAAATTTTTTTTTGATCAATTTAATGCAACCTTGCTAAAATTAAAGTATTTTATTTAGCAAGTAAATAAAAAAAAATGTATTGACCCAAACTTTTGATCAGTACTGTATAGTCAAGTGTTGGGGAGTGACTCGTTACATGTAACTGAGTTACGTAATTTAATTACAAAATAAATGTAACTGTAATCCGTCACAGTTACTGAGAATTGTTTTTTAATTAAATTACATTTACATTTAGTCATTTAGCAGATGCTTTTATCTGTAACCTATTAAGTAACCTTCCCAACACTGAATATAGTGAAGTTAATAAGTGTTTAGAAATACATTCAAACAGGAAATTCCATTCCGTGCTCCCCTTTTCAACACAACTCTGACTACTTACAAGAGGAAGTACAGGCCCCACGATGCCCCGGCCCCCCAGATGTTGGGGGTCACACCCTGATAGAGTCCTCTAATCCCTTCCAGCTTCCAGATGGTCTTCATGCAGTGCACCACGCCATCGTACTGGGGTCGCATTTTCAGACCATCACTTACTGGAACGAGCAAGAAACAGTGGGGGAAACAACACACTCCCACTTCTGCTTCAAAACAATCTAAAAATCTCTTTGAAAAAGACCAGTGCAAAGGTAAAACTAGCAGGCAATCTGTGTTGTGCCCTCTGTGTGTTTTTTTAGTTTTCTGGGTTGCGTCTCAAAAGTAGTGCTGCTGAACGATTAATCACGATTAATCGCATCCGAAATACAAGTTTTTGTTCACATAATATACGAGTGTGTACTGTGTATATTTATTTATCATGTATATATCTCCACAGGCTCTAGAAATCTGTGCGCGTGAGTGCATTGTTCAGCGCTTGAGCGTGAGCTATATTTGACGACGACTTATTACACTATATTTACTGTAACCTGCTATTTATATGTTTAGAGTAAATGTGCTATAAATACTATTTTGTACTATGTTTTTTTCGTTTTCTGGGTTGCGTCTCAAAAGTAGTGCTGCTGAATGATTAATCGCATCCGAAATACAAATTTTTGTTCACATAATACATGAATGTGTACTGTGTGCATTTATGAATACACATACATGCAAGTATATATTTAAGAAAAATATGTTAGGTTTACATAAATACATATATATATATATATATATATATATATATATAATATAAATTATATGAATATAAACATATGTAGATACATGTCAATATTTTCAAAATATATGCTGTATGTGTGAGTATTTATATACACATAATAAATATACACAGCACACACACACATATATTATGTAAACAAAAACTTTTATTTGGGATGCGATTAATCGCGATTAATCGTTTGGCAGCACTACAAAACCTAGAGCGCATGACACAGTTTTTCAGATTGTGAAACTGAACACACATAGCGTTTCTGTCTCTGCTGCTTGTATAGCAATTTCAAGCTTTTAATAATTTAACTTATTTACCAGAACTAATGGAAAACTAGGAGTAATTTATTTTTTATTGATATTTACTCATATCATAGTTTTTTTTACAAAAAACAATTAAAAAGCCTGTCTAACCCGTATTTTTGGCCATTAGTGCATGCTGTCCAGGCAGGCAGCTGTAGGTTTTGAGACCCTCTCTGCAGTATTACACAAGACAAACATGTGCTCACCTGCGAACCTGATTTTGATCAGATCCAGGGGGTGCAACACCATTGTGGAAATAACTCCCCCACTGAGTCCGGCGGCGAGGTTTTCATATCTGATGTGCTTCGAGAGTCGCAGGAGGCTTGCAGTAAGAGGCACGGAAGAGCCAGAGGAGTCTGCGGCGTGCCTCTGCCTGGAAACCGTAGCGCTCATGTTTGTTTACGGACTGCCTGAGCGCCAGGAGGCAGGACAATACACTCTGTGAGGGCAGACAGCGACACACTAACCCTGTATATATATATATAAACATCAAGTAACCAATGCACCTATTAAACTCAGTAGCCACCGCTGGGCCATTGTTAAGCGCGACCGCTCGTCTGACCTCCGCTTCTCGAAGAAGGTAAACAACAGAGCGTGGTGACGCAGCTCAGTGGGCGGGGCGACGTGCGTCGCAGCAGCCAATCCCCATCCCGTATGATGTGACGTCCTTCAGAGCTCCGCCCTCTCCACAGGCTCTAGAAATCTGTGCGCGTGAGTGCATTGTTCAGCGCTTGAGCGTGAGCTATATTTGACGACGACTTATTACACTATATTTACTGTAACCTGCTATTTATATGTTCAGAGTAAATGTGCTATATTTTGTACTATATTATAACCAGTGTTGGGGAAAGTTACTTTTAAAAGTAATGCATTACAATATTGCGTTACTCCCTAAAAAAGTAACTAATTACGGTACTTAGTTACTTTTTATGGGAAGTAATGTGTTACGTTACTTTTGCGCTACTTTTTAAATCTGGACAGGGCTTGCTTGTTTGTTTTTAAAATAAAAAAGTTCTATTTTTGGCAAATATATAAAAGCCTTTTCACACCAAAAGTGAAATGAATGCACCTCAGGCTGAAGGGAAAGTACATTTAAGTCCGTACAGTAGAATGCAGAAGAAGACATTTCAACACACTTCAGCAATAAACAGTAATTTTTGCTTATTAGTACAGTTGAACTGGATCATCGAAGGCCAGAAGCAAAGACATTGGTTAATAGAATGGGATTAAATACATAAAGCATATTTGTGTTCTTTAACATTTAATTATTGCAGGTTTGCGTCATATTCTGAGAATTATTTGTATTCATTTTGAGGAATGCTGAATCAGTTTTTTTGTGAGTGAGATGAATTAATGCATATTCATATTTATTTTAGAGCTACAGTAACATCTGATTTCTCTCAACATGGGGACAGGAGAGCTTTCAGTCAAAACATTGGAAAAAAAACGTAACTTGCGTTACTTATTTGAAAAAGTAACTCAGATATTCTCTTGTAAATTAAAAAGTAATGCGTTACTTTATTAGTTACTTGAAAAAAGTAATCTGATTACGTAACTCGCGTTACTTGTAATGCGTTACCCCCAACACTGCTTATAATAAGACGCCTTATAGTAGGCCTATGTATCCAAGGTACTCAAAATGAATGAATGAATGATTGATTTTGAATGAATTAATTAATTTAATGAATGAATTTTCTCCTTCACACTACTTCCAAAACCTGTTGTTATTTTATAGGCTACAGCAATCTGAAAGAAGAAGAAGAAAACACCAGACACATTTTATATTTTATGTATATTTTACATACAATTTATATATGCCATTTCGACCTAAATGATTATTTTTGATGTTGATTGTAGTAGTAGTATTAGTACATCATAAGGTGGAAGCTCAAATATAAAATCCGAATTGCATTTTTATCATTTTGATGCATTTATTTTGAAATGTTTAGGTAATGTTTTAGATGTATAAAACTATTCACACATTTCATATAAGACATCATACCTGCTCCAAAGATGATGCTCATGTTGGTCCATTATTACCTAAAATGTTATAAATTGTAAGGCAGTTTGTTGACAAAAAAAGTGATTGTTGATGATTGCATCTGGTGGTAAAGAAATGACACCATTGTTTCTCATAATGAAATCATGAAACTTGCATTGCATAATATGATTGCATTATTCCTTGTTTTGTTTAGTTTTTCAGTGAGCAGTTGTTTAAACTGGTCTGTAAGATTTTTATATGTTTTTAGGAAGTTTTATACTCACCAAGGCTGCATTTATTTGATCAAAAAAATACAGTAGAAACAAAAACTGTGAATTATTAATACAGTTTAAAATAACTGTTTTCTGTTTAAATATATTTTAAAAATATAATTTATGTCTGTGATCAAAGCTGTATTTTCAGTATCATTACTTCAGTCTTCAGTGTCACATGATCCTCCAGAAATCAGTATAATATGCTGATTTTCTTATAATCATCAATGATGAAAACAGTGATACATTTTTTTCAGGATTCTTTAATGAATAGAAAGAACTGCATTTATTTGAATTAGAAATCTTTTATAATTTTAAATGTATTCACAGTTACTTTTGACAAACATAATTAGTTCTTGCTGAATTAAAAACACACACACACACACACACACACACACACACACTTACTGACCCCAAACTTTTGAAAGGTAGTGGAAATCTGATTATAGGCCTATGTGCAATGCCACTAACCGACGTCCAGATTTAATGAAAGTAATTAAAATATATCACTTTAACATTCAAATTAATACTTCGTTTTGGGTTATGCCTTTTAGTTTTATATTGCCCTTCTATGATTTGATGGCAATGGCATTAAGTTAGGTACCATACTCCTTAAAGAGGTCTGAGGAGACAAAAAAATAATTTAAACTAATAGAAAGAGTTCTCATTCACCACAGTCTGAGACATAAACCTTTTTAAAAATAATAATACATTAAAAACATAATAAATAAATAAAAATTCTGGTTGATGACTTGTCACCAGTGTTGGGAAGTAGTAATATGTAATGGAATGATGTAATTTAATTACAAAATAAATGTAATTGTAATCAGTTACAGTTACTGAGAAAAATGTTTAAACATTTTTTAAATACAGTTGCTTGTGAAAATGTTAACGATTACAAAGGAGGTTACATCTGAATATTTTACAGTCACACACAGACACAGTCACACACAGACACAGTCACACACAGACACAGTCACACACAGACACACACACAGACACAGTCACACACAGACACACACACAGACACACACAGACACACACACAGACACAGACACACACACACACAGACAGACACACACACACAGACAGACACACACACACAGACAGACACACACACACAGACAGACACACACACACAGACAGACACACACACACAGACAGACACACACACACAGACAGACACACACACACAGACAGACACACACACACAGACAGACACACACACACAGACAGACACACACACACAGACAGACACACACACACAGACAGACACACACACACAGACAGACACACACACACACACACACACACACACACAGATTTACAGTTTTTTTTTTACGATTGCTTACACACTAAAATTTAGCTAACAGTGTTATGCACACTACTGTAGTAGCATGACAACTGGGACATGTTTTGTTGTGATTCTCCATGTTGACTGATTTGGTGTATATGGAGAGAAATCAATGATATTTTCGTCAGTCCGCAGCATTGGTCTGGCGTAGTGTTTGGTGAACTATTGTATAGTTGCACTTTCTCTGTGTACTTCATTTACAGTACTCTAATCACTGAGAATTAGACTTGCTAAAAGTGTTTTAGGTTAGCAACAGCAGTGTGTAACTGGTTCAAAAAGATTAAAGTCATATGAAATGTGTGTGTTTCGTATATGGTAACAAAATGTATGTGTATAGTTTTGACAAAAGTGTTCCATTTTGCAAATGAGCTGAAGTGTTGTGCTACTTTGGTGTAGGGTTGTGTTAATTGTGTGTAGTGTTTTGACAAACCGGGCCCTGTTTTCAAAATTGTGCTTAAGCAATCGTAAAAAACTGTAATTGATTTCGTTAATAAATTGCATCGACTGCTCTAAAATATGAGGCACCAATATTTCAGGAGTTTAAGACACAGAATAGTACAAATGCTTATTCAATAACTGTTTTATTTCCTATTTCGATTTATGTAGACTATATGCTATATTTTTTTAAGATTAACTGTTTTTTTTCCGCAAGGCATTGTTAGAAGCCTGTGTTTCCTGTCATAGCTATACAAAGATTTGATTTCAAAAACGGTATCACAGCTATTAAACTATATCTTGTTATGATTTTAAATCTGCATTTAACCTCAGAACAACCTCAAAGTAAAAAGAGGTGCTAAAGTCTGATTTTGTGGTGGACGTGCTTTCAAATTAAATGATTATAATCTTAAGTGATGAAGGATTTTGAAAGTCTGACAGTAATCAGTGGTGAATACTACTCTAATGTTAACCCTGCACTCTAAAAAATGCTGGGTAAAATACAACCCAGTGCTGGGTAAAATAGGGACAAACCCAGCAATTGGGCTGTTTTGACCCAGCGGTTGGGTTACTACCCAGAAGGTTGGGTTAAACATTTAACCCAACCGCTGGGTCAAAACAACCCAATTGCTGGGTTTGTCCCTATTTTACCCAGCACTGGGTTGTATTTAACCCAGCATTTTTAGAGTGTATAGTAGGGTACATGAAGTTAATTAATATTATTTCTCAGTAGCCTACTTAAATTTATAATTACAAGGACACCTTAAAATAAAGTGTAACCCATTACTTTATTAAAGGGGTCATATGATGCTGCTAAAAGGAACATTATTTTGTGTATTAGGTGTAATGAAATGTGTTTATGCGGTTTAAAGTAACAAAAACACATTATTTTCCACATACTGTACATTATTGTTTCTCCTCTATGCCCCGCCTTTCTGAAACGCGCCGATTTTTACAAAGCTCATCGGTCTGAAAAGCGAGGTGTGCTGTGATTGGCCAGCTATCCAGTGTGTTGTGATTGGCCGAATACCTCAAGCGTGAGACGGAAATGTTACGCCCCTACCATACTGTGACGCTGTGTCTGGCCGGAGCGACGAGACAAAAACATTAAAACCCATTATAAACGAGGCATTTGTTGCATCCAGTGAGGACATAATTATGGATTATAATGACTTATACTGTCTTTTTATGCGTTGCGTTGCATCGCGCCGCGTAAACATAAAACCATGTCTGCATTTGTGATCGGAGAAATGACAAACAACAAGTGCTACTCTACACTGCCCAAAACTCACGTTTGAATCATCAGTGGCAAATCCTTTAAATATGAAAACGTACTTACGTGAGTCAGAACTGCTGGCATTTTAGTCTAACGTTACTCTCCCAGGATCAGGAAACAGTCCTCCATAAAATGTGCCGGCGATCCACAGCACTAAGTTGAGCAGCTCTAGGCATGACGAAGTGGATATCGTTCTTTTTTGGAAGACCAAACAAAGTAGTTTCGCTTTCACAACGAAGCACACAGCGTCTTTACGACATGGCGGCAGCAACAATACTACAACGAGAATAAAAGTTACGCCTTCTTTCTTTGCGTGAACATTTGGGCGGCGTTATGCAAATCTTCCCACATAGTGATGTAGACATGTGGGGGCGTGTTAGAACGAGCCGTTTTAGGTAGGTGTGGCTGACTCTTAACTTTTATAAAGAATATCTCTTTGGATTTGAGACTTTAGTCTTTGCAACTTTACAGATCTTCTTTATGCACCAAGAGCTTGTAACACTTCAAAGAGAAAGGAGAAATTGAAATCGAATCATATGACCCCTTTAAAGTAACTGAAATAGTTACACTACTTATTACATTTTGAATAGGGTAACTTGTAATCTGTAACCTACTACATTTCCAAAGGAACTTTCCCAACTCTCTCGCCTCCCGTCGATGAACGCGGCGGGCGGGGCAGCGGAAGTGCGACCGGACCATCTGATCTTTGTCCTGCGTAAGACCGTCGCTCCGCCTCGCTCTCCTATCGGACCGCTTCCCTGCCGCATCCATTTTTGTGCATTCAAGAAATCTCTTGGAGTTAGCAGCAGCAGCGGCAGGAGGGAATCGCGGGGAAGTCCGCCGACAACCGCAATAAGGATGCCATGGGTTAGGCTACATTCACCATGATTGCGAAATAAAAGGCAAGCGCCCGTTTTATCTCCACACACACATTAAAGCCTGGGATGCCCTCGGCTCCCGGAAACGCGAGAAGCCCAAGGGTTTTCTCAGACCTCATTCTCAGAAGATGCTTGCTTTTATGAGGCAGCGTGACAAGCTACATTGCTGTCACTGGGATGCATATTGATTCTAGCTAACAATGCACCACTAAATCCACCAATGCAGGGTGTGAAGGTGTTATTATCATGAAACCATTAGTTGTCTGCGGTCTTCATCATCGTAATGCATGTAGTAGATGAGATCAGTACACTTATGCATCGCATAAACACAACACTGGCTACACGTGTAGGATGCATAGAGATGTGTTTCATGTTCACGCATCGCTCTCTCAGCAGCATCCACACCTGAAGATGTCAGCTTTGGGGGCCCCTGCGGCTCCCGCTCCGCCGGACCTGAGCCACCTCACCGAGGAGGAGAGGAGGATCATCCTCTCGGTCATGGAGCGGCAGAAGACAGAGGAGGAGAAAGAGCAGTCCATGCTGAAGTAAGCTTGTGTTCAGCACCCTTAGTAGGGGGCAAGGAGGACTGCATTTGTCTCTTTAAACGCGCTCCCTCCTGTCGTTTTCAGCATGACTGTCTCCTGAAATGTAATACGTCTGCTTACGTCGACTGTCAATATTAGGCTATTGTTGAGACGAGCGCGGACAAAACAGAAGGGGTGCCGCGTGTGGATGTAGTATTTCGCCTCTGGTGGGCTTGGTTAGCTGTGGGCGCCATCTTCGCTAAAAATCCCACCAGCCACCGTTTATACCAGAGATTACTACACGTTTGAATGCGTGCTGTCGAATAGGTGAGGCGTTAACTATTAACGCGACGCCCAGCGCGCTTGCCAAGGAGCCCGGCGCGGTGTTTTCAGCACCACGGCGCTGTCCGCTGCAGATGCGTGTTTCTCTGACAGATCAACCTTCCTGTGTGTGTGTGTGTGTGTGTGTGTGTGCTACATTATGGGGACCAAATGTGATAGTAAAAGCTGATTTTTTTTACATTTGGTCCACACGAGGAAAACATTTATTAAAAATAGTAAATGATGCAAACAGGTTTTCTGTAAGGGGTAGGTTTAGGGGATAGAAAATATGGTTTGGTCAGTATAAAAGTAATAGAAGTCTATGGAAAGTCCCCATAAACATGTGTAGGTGTGTGTGTGCATGTGTGTGTGTTTGCTTGACAGGCCTTATTAATTGCAAGGGTGCACCTGTTTTTCTTGTGTGTGTAGAGGTAGTTGATATCAAGCAGTGAAAGTGTCCCGCAGTGTGACATGAAACACTTCCTCTAAGTCTGTCTGGAAAAGCACTGGACCAGTAATTCTTGTTTAAGTACTATAGTATAGTTTTTTTGTAGTTTTGTTTGTGTATGCATGTGTGTGTGTGTACAGTGGTGGCCAAAATTATTAGAGCACTAGTATTTTCAGCTGCGAAAAAATCTTTTGCTGTAGTGTGTCAGTACTAGGAAATATCAGTTTCCATTTCCAAACATTCATTTAGCCATTAATTGTAATAATCCAGTGAGATTTTTGTTTGCTCTACACAGAGATCTGATCTGATCATCATCAGTCTGTCTGAGATCACATGAAGAAACAGAACAAACTGAGACAGACTCAATCCAGAAGAACTGTGGCAGCGTCTCCGAGATGCTTCAAGAGACCTACCTGCGAAGCTACAGTACTGTTAAAAGTTTTAGGCACTTGTGTATAAATGCTGTAAAATGGGGATGCTGTCAAAAATAATGTCAGAAATAGAATTTCTTTATCAATTAACTTCTATTAACTAAATTAAACCAACATTTGGTTTGAGCATCCTTTGTGTTTAAAGCAGCTTTTGCCCTCGGTGCACTTGCACATAGTTTTTTAGAGAGCTTTGCAGGTAGGTCTCTTGAAGCATCTCGGAGACGCTGCCACAGTTCTTCTGGATTGAGTCTGTCTCAGTTTGTTCACACACACACACACATATATATATATATATATACAGGTACATCTCAAAAAATTTGAATATCATAAAAAAGGTAAATATTTTGTTGTCGTTCATTTCAGAAAGTGAAACCCATATATTATATAGATTCATTACACATAGAGTGAAATATTTCAAGCCTTTATTTCTTGAAATTTGGATGATTATGGCTTACAGATAATGAAAACCCAAAATTCAGTGTCTCAGAAAATTTGAATATTGTGAAAAAGTTTTATTGGAAAGTCATGGTGTCAACACCCTATTCAGCTAATTACCTCAACACACCTGCAAAGGTTTCCTGAGCCTTTAAATGGTCTCTCAGTTTGGTTCACTAGGCTACACAATCATTGGGAAGACTGCTGATTTGACAGATGTATATATATATATATATATATATATATATATATATATAATGTACTCATATAATATTATATATCATAAATAGCAAGATTCTACATTATTTCTAGGCTGTTAATTATATGTACAAATGTGCATTTTTGACTATGTTGGTCAAAAGGTGAAAGTGATTTGCACTTTTTGAGTCAAAATGCTGCTATTTTTGTAGTTTAATATTATTAAAATTATATTGATAGCATGAAAATTGCTAAATCGTTTTGAAACATTTAGTATGATTTTTTATGGTGTGAAGCAATTCTGCACTGTTCTGCTCTATTTAACATAAATCTATATTTATATTTAATATCATGTCTATGTCATTTAAACCCTTTTATGCCACTTTTTGAGTCAAAATGCTGCTATTCTTGTAGTTTAATACAAATTTGATTCCAAATGATATTAATAGCATGACAATTGCTATATCATTTTGAAAAATTGAGTATACCTTTTTATGGCGTGAAATGATTCTGCACTGTTCTGCACTATTCAAGATAAATGTATATTTATATCTATATCATATTTATATCATGTAAACTTGGATTTTTATGGCATGAAATAAGTAAGATTCTGCATTACTCCCAATCAAATCCAAGCAATTGTATTTTTGACTATATTGGTTGAAAAGTCAAAATGATTTGCACTTGCTACTGTTTTAGCTTAATACAAATTCCAGCACATATCAATAGCATGACAAATAAGCATGAATTGGAAAATATCCCTCTTTTGTTTTAATGTCTGCAGCATTTGATCTGCATGAGCTCCTCAAGTTTGTGTGAAACCTGATGATCGTGTTTTCAGCACGATTTGAGCATCTGAACGTCTGTATGATCATGAACTACTCATGACCTGGAGTCCACTGTGATACAGTCATCTGTTATTTTTGTATAAAAACACACGCTAGACATTGCTTTTGACATACTAGAGACAAACCGATTGCTGAGAATTGATGGTTTAATCCACATTTATCCACGTATTGCTCAATGCCTCAAGGCACTTGGTAGAATTGAAAATATTTTTTTCAACTATCCCATAATTAAGCATCTGTTTATGGAGCAGTCTTGCGCTGTGGTTCTGCATCTTCCCCCTTAATATTTGCTCTCAGATGCAGTGGGCTTTGTGTTTAGAGAGAGATTATTTACTGGAGTGGCCCAGTTGGCTCCACGGTCCAGGGCTGGACTGAACCCAGTGAACCTCCAGAGCTGTGCCAGAGCTCCGCTCACGTCTGACCGGCATCACTGCCAAACAGCGTGAGCTTCAGCTGCGCCACGTGCCTGTTTGTTGATAGAGAACCGAAACTGGTGTAACTCACCTCCAATGCTCAAGTTTCTAGTATTATCACATGATTGTTCTAAAAACTCAATGGACTCAAGCTCTCAGTGTCACACTTCCAGAGTGTACTGTTGGGTGTTTTGATGCCTCGAGACTGTGTTTATCAAGCTCTTGTGGTGGCAGAGTTCATGTTTCTGATAAGCCATATCACTGATGTTCTGCATAACTGTTCAGTTTAGTTATTTGTTTACGGTGACATACCACCGGTCACGGTTTTTCTTTTCTTTTTTGAAAGTAATGAATACGTTTACTCAGCAAGGAATGCGTACAATTGATCAAAAGTGACAGCAAATACATTTATAATGTTACAAAAGTAATCTTAAGTAAAATATTTCAAATAACATAATTCATCAAAGGAGCCTGGAAAAAATGTATCCCGGTTTCCACAAAAATAAAAAATGAAATGTTTCTTTAGCAGCATATTAGCATGATTTCTGAAGGATCATGTGACACTGAAGACCGGAGTAATGATGCTGAAAATTCAGCAATTTATATCTATTATATATTTATATATATAGAGAATGCATGTGTGTGTATAAAATCTGCAAAGTTTGAGATTTTCACTTCCACCCCAAATGATCTGTTTGCACTGTTGTTGTGCTGAAAGTATAATAGGACATTGATAGCTTAAAAAATCAATGTGTTTACTGCCAGACTCAAATGCGCCAGAGTAACTACTGAGCATGAGAAGAGAAAACGTTCTTGTGCGTTTTGGACACATTTCAGCCTCAAGTGAGATTTTCCAAAGATTCCACATGAGTAATTGCTATATTTACATTTACATTCATTCATTTAGCAGACTGGTAACTCTTCATTTTACAGTGTCTTTGTTACACATTACAAAAAAGGTCACAGCACGCATCTCCAAATAAACCGCATGTTGTGAAAACGTTATATGAATGTCTGTTTTATTCAGTTGGAGAGACTGTACTTAAAGCTCCTTAATGGCGGTGTCGGCAGCTGGCATGAACTTGTTTGACTGACACAGTTTTGTAAGGCCTGTGCCACTGGAGATCTCACAGTCACTCGGTCAGATGTCAGTCTCTCTGATCTGGGTTGGATACTGTGGCTTAATCTGATCGCATTAATTCGTAGTCTGTGTAGTTCACCAGTGTCTTCCTCACAAATGTGCAATTAAGTTTTATAGATTCTTAACATCCAAGAAAAACATTTTAGAAGAGCTTGCTGTTTTTTCTAGTCTAGTTTCTTGTGCATGTTACTCCAAGTTCAAGTCAAGCTTGAATTTATGGTAGTTTTATAGCATTTGGATTTAAAACATACACTGAAACACCCATCTTAAAGGGACAGTTCAGCTAAAAAATGAACATTTTGTCATCATTTACTCAACCTACATGAGTTTCCTTCTTCTGTTGAACACTAAATAAGATATTTTAAAGAATGCTGGTAACTAGTTGACAGTTGCCGTTGACTTCCATAGCATAGCAAAACAATTCTATGGAAGTCAATGGCTACCGTCAACTGTTTGGTTACCAACATTCTTAAAAATGTCTTCTTTTGTGTGAGTGAATAAATGAATTTTCATTTTTGGGTGAACTATCACTTTAAGAAAGGGGTTTCAATGTATAAAGAGTTTATTTGCAAAAACAGATAAACTGTTTTTTTTTTTTCTTCAAAAATGTGACCCTGGAGCACAAAAGCAGTCTTAAGTAGCTGGGGTATATTTGTAGCAATAGCCAAAAATACATTGTATGGGTCAAAATGATCGATTTTTCTTTTATGCCAAAAATCATTAGGATATTAAGGAAAGATCATGTTCCATGACGATATTTTGTAAATGTCCTACCGTAAATATATC